CAGTTACAATGTGAAGACCTGTATGTGATTTCTGGGATCTCTCCCGAACGTGTGGCTCTATTTGTCAAGATCCAGAATGAGTTCGACAGTGATGATGTGTTGCGCCTCCGATCCAAAACCCCTCAAGGACTAGGTGTACGAGGGGGACAGGCGGACAGCAGCAAATGTTATAACTGCAAAACATGCGGAAATTAATACACTTTGAAAATAATTTCTGAGGACAGAAACAACGATGCCAAATGCAAAGCGCGAAAAGCCAAAGCAAAGGGGCTAATCTCCAGACCGTGCCAAGCACATGTTTAGTATGTTTCTAATGAGGGATCTGCTGCTTATGTACATTCTGGAAATGAATTCAAATAATCTAGAAAAGAGTGATCTTACAGCGGAAGAAGCGATGGACTGCATCACAAAGATTGAAATAAGGCTTGCAGAGATGAGATGCAATGTTGAAGAATTTAAAAGGTAAGATACATAAACATAAAGATTATTCAAATATATTTAATTTGCAACAATGTCAATGTTGACTTCTTTATTTTCTAACTGTTCAAGAAAGTTGATGGTTCAGAGCTACAAACAGATATATACGACTAATTTAAGCAGGCCAAGAAAGGCACCAAAGAGAATCGAAGACTTTATCGCACATGATGTGGCACACAGCAGACACGGTTCGATAAAGGAATGGTTTGTATATAATAGAGAGGTTAAGATACCCCGGTTTCCGTGTACGGGTACGAGTAGTGTCATCTTGTTTTACTGATGTCTGTGATTCGATCATACTTTTTCTATTTGCTTGCAATAGACAATGATATAATGCGAAAAATGTGCACCTTAATTACGAGTAAAGGTACAGACATCGACGAAAATATTGCTAACCAAAATCATGCTACCCGTACACGTACACCGAAACCGGGGTATCTTAACCTCTCTAATAACTACAGTGAAACACGCAATTTGATTGGTCAGTAGCCGTGCTGGATCAGGCTATCCTGCAGGAGAAATTAAAATGCCTTCGCGGGAGTTTCGCGAGATTCTCAAAATGTCATTGTTTCACTGTAGTTATTTTATAAAACAATTACCAAATGGTTTTCCAAGCAGGATAGCGTGGCCCATGCACTTGGGATGTTGCTCGACTTTCGAAAAGCGTAGAAATACACTCGCCTGCGGCTCAAGTATTTTTACACTTTCTAAAATTCTTGCGACATCCCTTGTGGATGGATCACGCAATCCTGCACGGAAAACCTTCCGGTATTCCTTTAGACGAGAAAAGCCCAAATCGTCAAAGATATCAACGACATGTTAACCTCATGCGCTAACAACGAGGCAGATGTCACCACTCAGTATGGGAAAAAGCACCTTGGCGTCGCTGCAAAGTTTGTTGATTTTTTGATCGAAGAATTGAAAAAGTTACATGTCCATAGCCAGAAACTCGACGTTTCGAGCGAAGGCCCTTCGTCAAGAGTTATCACGCTGGGCACGAATGGCGCCAAAAATGCCTGGCATTTTCGTGACGTTCCGCCATCTTGGCCGCGCCATGTTTTTGGGAGAATAGGTACGAAATAGCGATCATGCTCGATAGCAATGTTTTGGCCGTTCGTAAGTTTTCAACGTTCATTTTGATATCCAGCATGGCGGCATTGCTCAGACGAGTGCCGTTGCTTTTGATCGATGAAAATCTACAAAATATAGGCAATAATGCGTGCCTGATATAAACGAGGCCTACTCTGGGGCGGTAAATCGCCTTAAATCGCTGCGATATAATGCGATTTTGGGCGATTTTAGGCGATTTAAGGAAAAACTGGGACTTTCAAGCACTGCGATTTACTGCGATTTTAGGTGATTTAAGGCGATTTAAGAAAAAAATTTAAATTTTGGGGGATTGCAATTTAGGTGTTTTCAAAGGAATTGAATTTTATATTTTGCTCCGGTTTCCTCCCACAGGGCAAAATTGGCAGGGTGGGTTAGGATAAACACAGTTAGGAAAGTAATATCGTATCCTCATTGTTGTAAAGATAAATAGTCTAGGCTAACATAAGTAATCATAGTACTTGAGGTATTCGGTCACTGAAAAGCCCCAATGTGGGGAGTGAGCTGAATAATAATGCAATGTTTTCACACACATATGCATTGTATGAAGCAAAATACAATTATTAGAACATGTACGTACATCTTATATAAAGCTAGGTTAACTAATTAATGTATTTAACCTGATTCACATATAAAGCTCAATATTCATGAACTTTTCACCCATTCTCTATTTAAAAGCCATTCGGGTTCATCTTGTGGGGTCATGTGGTCATTCATGGCTAAATCATTATATACCACAAATATTGTAAACAGTTAACATTAAGGGGCATGCACTACACATGTCTTAAACTTTAATATTATTAATTTATGTCGAGTTAAAATTGCAAAATATAATAAATATTTGATTTCCAAAAAAAAAACACAAGAGGTAGGGGGTTGAAACACACAATGTATTTATACAGTATAACTTGATAAGCTATAATCCTATAAATTACCTCGTCACCCTTGTAAGTGAAATTGTCTTGTTTTGTATCATGTCAAAACTTCTTTATTTAGCTTGCATTTTATTTAAACTGTTTCAATCTCGTGCTTTCTTCATGCTACAAACATATTTATAAAATTTTTGATATCTACATCATATCCCAAGTGCCATATCCAGAAACAGTATCGTCACGCATTCGGAAACTGTCGGCGTAATGCCGTAATGTTTAAATTACATGAAGTATATCGTATATAAATGGATTCTAAGTTATTTTAAAATTAAAAACAAAATAGTACGTGTTAAACAAATGGCGCACTACATCGTGGTTTTAGGTTCTGCAAACAAACAACAACAAAAGATCTATTGTATGGTATGTAAGATGTAATCATTGTTTTACTGTTTATTGTATATACAGGTCTGGAAAATTTAATAGACGAGAGTTGCAAATCGCTCATAAACCTAGCTCACGTATATTTTTCGTTTGATAGCCACTATAATTATAACTAGGAGCTACAGTATAACCATGCACATGTCGAAGTACAACCATTGTATACAATGCAGTGCTCGATCTTACATGCAACAGTGCAAAAATTACACGATGACTTTATTATATAAATCAACACTCGTACTCATTGACTTTTGTAGTCTCCTACTGTTGTTCTAATTAATAGCAATTAGGCTTTGAGAAGCCATGTAGATTATAGATTAATTTGTAGCCCAGCCTCCATAGTCCATATAAATTGTAGCCCAGCCTCCATTTACACCAATAATGAAATTAGCTCATTCTGGTAACTAGCTCAATTTTGTTGCTGGTAGTGTATGGGATCTATGGGTCTTTTAGATCCCAGAATTACCTAATTATTGTAAAGTCTGCATAAAGCAGAAAAAGGCTCTGTTTTTGTCAATGACCGGTGCCTATTGAGTGACCAAATATTGTCAGACTAATCCACTTATTTGATTGCTAATTCATGTTGCATTACTTTAGATTGCGAAGAACCTGGATTACATGATTTGCCCGTAAAATAGCAGCAATTGATAAACTTGAGTACATGGACTGCATGTATCAAGCAGAATGCATGTTGGCGATTTTAAGCGATCTTAGGCGATTTTAGGCGATTTAAGAGAAATTCGACAATTTTAACCCGCGATTTAATGCGATTTTAGGCGATTTAGGGCGATATAAGGCGATTTACCGCCCCAGAGTAGGCCTTAAACGGCATATTCTGCCTTGTTTTATTTTTGACATAGTTTATTGATTTGCATCGAATCTTCGTGGAGAGATGGTTCAATACCAATATTTTGTAGCCTTCTTTTTTGTTTATTGATATTTGAATGCCAACGTGTGATTTGAGAGACTTTTACTTGGCATATGAACTACGCACGGGATGCCACATTTTAAAGTTGGGGAATATATGAAAAATAGGTACGCAGTGCGTACATGTTGCATGCCATCACGGTTAATAGATCTAGTTCTATTAACCGTGATGCCATCTGAAACTTATGATGCGCTATAGCGCTTATAACCTTTGGTACAACTGGTGTGAAACTTAAAATATTGATTCAATAAGTTTAATATCGATATATTTATTGAAAAATAGCTATTATGTAAAAATAAGAAAACTTAAGATTCTCACGCGAATAGGCAATGTTTTTATCAGCGACTGTTAATAGTTAGTTGCAAGCGACGGTAATAACAAGGTCATGGTGGGTGAAGGTTTTATCGAAAGCAATTGACTTTTAGATTTCCTTTACAAATTTATAACTAAATAACGTTATTTCCAATACTGCTATAGATTTAGCTTTATTGTAACTTTTTAAAGGTTTAAAAAACCAGTGGAAACGGTGAATTACTATAATAGATTGAAAATGATTATTAAGCTATGATTGAAATTGTCGAAGTTGAAAAAGGATAAAGGTACTAGTTAGTTAATATGACCTTATGGTTTTTTTTATAATTCATTTGGGAGAGAAGAACAGACATTCCAACCACTGGAGGTAAAATTTAGGGAGACTGTTCAGTGAATTGAAATCTAGTTCTTCTGGGGGAAAAATAATAAAAATTAAGTCTTCTGAAATGGCGTTTCCTGCATTTTGGAACTATGTTGTTATAAGTGATCCTATAAATTGCCATAAAGCAACTTCAAAAAAGGTCAAGACAGACTATTATGTTGCTAGAAACAGTATATTTATAATTTTTTATGATATTTCCTGAATATTCTGAAAAATCGAGAGAATTTGATAAAAATCGGGAGACCGGGAGATTGCATGAATTTTCGGGAGACTCCCGGTAAAATCGGGAGAGTTGGAATGTCTGGAAGAAATGGCTGTATTTATCATTTTGGCGTTTGAGTGATTGAAATGAGTTCATTTACACTACTGTAAATCTCAGAATATAAGCCCCTGTATAAGCCCATCACATGTACTAACGATCGCCTCATTCCAAATATAAGCCCTCGGATATAAGCCCTCCCGAATGCACACCCAAATATAAGCCCCCGAATATAAGCCAAGTAGCCCACTACATTATTCAACATTGACATCGTCTTTTAATATAGCAGAGAATGATATTTTAAAACATTGTCATTGTCTTTATATCTTACTATGTTAATCAAAGCGAGTTATTAATACACGTTTATTTTCCTGTCTATGACTGACTTGTTTACGTCTGACTTATTAGTGACTAACACAAAAGATCGTCCATGTATAAGCCCCCTCCCCCGTATATACGCCTCCCCCCTTGTATAGGCTCATCAAAAATCGCTTACGAAAGTATATAAGCCCAGGGCTTATAGTTGGAGGTTTACGGTATATCGAGTGTCATGTTGAATGTCATGTTGAATGCCATGTTGAATCGTATGCGTACTTCACAATGGTTGCTATTTCGTATTTTCGTTGTATTAAATTTCAATAGTATTACTATTTTAATTCAAATTTTGTTTGATATTTATATTTCAAAATGTGCTGTAGTTTTAAAGCTTTGCACAGAATATAGTCAGTGCGAGCATAATGGCTCCTTTCAGTTTGAGTATGTAAAAATCGAGTATTTTGATAGCGTGGGCGCCCTTTGAGCATATGGCTTTGAGGCCTTCGTGATACATAAATAAAACGCCTGACAATTGATAAATAATCAGTGGCAACGGCTCCAAAATGTCAACAAATAACAGAATATACGGCAAGTTAAAAACAACAAAGCTTTACATACCTCGATTTATTTTTCTAAGACGCTCAATTATGTAAATTTTCGGCGAATAATCGATATTTCTAATTTTCTTTGCGTTTCCTGGACGAAAACCCGGTATGAAAATTCTCATCGGAAAAAGCTCGGTATTTGTCGTATTTTACGAACCTGCCACGTGACTGGTACGCTCATCGCTCACTCACCGACCACGACACGAAATTTAGAGCTATATGAAAGTTGCATGCCATATATGGCATGCAACAAAAAGTGCAAAGAAGTGCGCAATGCGGGTTTCATGACAAAGAGAAACCTTAGAGACGCTCAAGCAGAAGTTTCTCAGTTAGAAATGGAGCTACAGAGGAAAGATAAACTATTACGAGGTTTACAAGAACGAAAGAGACGCATGGATGCCAAGGTATGGACTTCATTAGTATATTCTTGTTTACTTATTGTATAGTTTTAAAGGGTATTATAATATGCAACATGAGCAGTCGTAATGTATAATTTTATAGGTACAGTCACAGAGCATTTACATTTACAGGTTTTTTCTGCAGATGATATGTTGTGCATGTATTGAATATACAGCTTATTTTTATTACTTATATGTACTGTAGATTTCCAATTTGGAAGATGAGGTTGATAGCTTGCCAGAGAAGTCCAGGTTTACCCAGTGTAGCATTCTAAAAGATAGAGCAGTGGAGAGTAGAAAGAAACATCCTACAAGGTTTCAAAATAAGAAATTCTCATCTAGTTTATCTGTACAGAGACAGAGAAGAAAAGAAATATTTGCTGCAGCTCAAAAAATTCATGGTGGAAGTGAAGAAACAGAAGTACCGGGAGCAATAGGGATTGTGGACACAGCATTGGTTAAGTGTATAGTCAGAGTATTTTAGTAGATGTAATGTCGGTTAATCAAAAGTTTAATCAATCAGTTATGCCAAGTATTTACAAGCCTAAGTTAGGAGAATTTGAGTCTTCCACTGAAAACATGATTCGCAGCGTTTCAGTATATTATAGCGGTGGTGTAGCCGGAAAAAAAAAGTATAGAAAAATATACAAAGATTCCAGCTACAAGATTGCTATGCAAAGTAAGGGTAAAAAACGTGTTCGGCTATCCGTCAATAATTGTCCCATCCCTAGGCTTGTGCCATATAACAAATTAATGCCTTTTATCAAGTCTATACCAGTAGGATCTATGTATAGTGTATATGAAACACTTTGTGAAGGTCTTGATGAGGAATACAAAGTACATGGTTGTTATAGGAATTTGGCAGAATTGTTGATAAAGTTGGCAGAATTTTATTTAAGCGGTTGTAGTGGTCACACACTTGTGTGGTTTGAGGAAGAATACAAGTTTTATGTTTCCCTGGGTGGTGATGGGGCGCCTTTTGGGAAACATGATACTGCATGTGCGTGGTTGGTTGGATTTTTGAACATTGGCCGAAGAATTTTGAGTAGCAATGAAAACTTTTTGTTATTCGGTGCTAATTGTTCAGAAAATTGCATTCCAGTTCAACGTTATATTAAGATGCTAGTGTCTGATGTACAACACCTTGAACAGCAAACTTTTAAATGCACATACATTACATCAGAAAGCCAGACATGTACAGTTGATATCAAATTTCATATCTCGGAATTCCCTAACGATTTGAAGATGGTTGCATTTTTGTGCGGTGAGTTGACTAATAGTGCCACATATTTTTGCTCATTTGCCAATGTTTCTAGCAAAGATGCCACTGAAATAAGCGGCCAGTTTGGCAAGGAAAAAGACAAAAAATGGCATCCGTGGAATTATTCGGAAAGGGTACAAGTAGCCAAAAGTGTTGAAACGTTCAAGCAGACTGTCGCAAAGCAAAATATAGCAGAAAGTACTAAGCGATCCAAAGTAACTAATTTCATAGCCGGCAAAAGAAGTAGGCAAGAATTTAAACCACTCCTAGGCCCAATGGTTGATAGGATCCATATTGATCCTTTGCACCTAAAAAATAATGCATGTGCGCTAGCCCACAGGCTACTTCTACAAGAGGTATTACTAATTTTTCAATTACCCAGTGCAATAAAATCATTTTTGCAGGTTCCCAGCACTTCGTCATTTCACAAATATATTGATGCAATGAGAACTAAGTGCAATGTTAGAAGACTTGCAAACAAAATTATTAGGTGGTTCAATGAAAACCGAGATAGCAAGTTTGATTATAGATACACCGGAAAAGATTCTCGGTGCTTTTTGCAGAACTTCATGTTTCTAATTGCTGCTATGGAACCATTTTTGAAAGATAAAACTAAGGCATTGTTTACATTTCATGTACTTGCTTACTTGTGTTTAACCCTGCGGGATTGTGTTTCTGTGTTCAGTCGAATCGATGTAACCGATTCACAGTTAGATGATTTGGAGAAAAACTGTCGAACATATTTTGTCCTACATTATCTGTATTTTGACCACCACCCTACTGCATGTACATTGGGAAACATTGTTTCTGAGCATGCTAGAGATATGAAAGTGAAGTATGGTAAACGACTTGGTCTTAATTCGATGGAGGGGAGGGAGTCAAAACATATATCCATCTCAAGATACAGCAAAAACACCTATTTTAAGGCCAGGTGGGAGCAAATTTTTCAACATGAGTATGTTTCGCTTGTGTGGTTGGGGGAAAAGGGCTACAATTTTGAAAAACCAGCATCCGAATGCTGTTCGCGTTATATGTATATCCCTAAGCGTGCCACTGAAGATTCTAAATTTTGCAATTGTGGGTGCGAAAAACAGGTTCAGTCTGCCAGTTGCAGGTTTTGTAACCATAAATTGAGGTTAAGGGTTTTTTAAAAAAATAGGCCATGTAGATTGCATGTTGTTGGTTGCATGTTGTTGGTTGCAAGATGTTGTTGGTTGCAAGACATGTATAAAGTATTGGAGATATTCATGCTGGGGGTTAAATATGATATATTTTGGGTCGAAAGTTATGTTCGGCATCAGAAATTCTACAACATTTGCATTGTACTTTGTATCTTTTAAGTTACACATCTTGCCTAAAGCAGTGAGTGCGTGTATGCTAAAATTTGCACCTCATACATTCCTCATGCTGACACAAGCCTTTACGTTGGTGAAATACGGCGTGTTTCAGTATTTCATGTTTATCTATGACTTTTAATAAATAATAAGGATTTGGGGTTTCTGGAAAGGATTTGTTATTGTAATTTAAAAAGTGATATTGATGGAAAGCAAATGCTTTTTGCCCTTATTATGATAGCATCTTAGAGTTTCCTCGGCCTGCACACGGCTGCATTTTATTCAAAGATATTTTTATATCTCTTTTAATATTTTAATATATTACAATGCATTATTTTTAATGTATTATATTTATTATATTTATTATATATTATTTTAATATATTACAATGCATTATTTTTAATGTATTATATTTATTATACAATTATTGGTACTTGAAATAAATTGATCATATATTTTTTAATTGTACCTGTATAATCTGTGAAGTAGTCCAGAGCAAAAAAATATAGGGAACAAAGTATTGAGCAGTGATTCACTGAGCGACAACTGAATAACAATTCGCTAGACCCACACGGTTGAGGACTCTTAATGCCAAATCTAGCTTCTTTGGCAGATGAGAGAGGGTGTCAGTGGAGAAGCTACCCATGGTAAAAAGTTGGTTAGCACAACTTGTTGTCATAGAAAGTTTTGCCACAGCTGTACCAATAGATCCAGGGGTATTATTAGAAGCTGACAACTGGCAAATTCTGCCATCTACTTTCAATATCAATGTGAATATGAAATATGAATTGGAATGGCATTTTAGATATTTTAATTTTTAAACAG